TCTAGGCCACCACGCTAAAAATGGCCTAGAAAACAAATTAGGTGATTTTTAAACCATTTCTAGGTCTTTTTAGCATGGTGGCCTAACTTTTACAAGATGATTTTTCTAGGCCACCATCCTAATTTGGCCTAGAAATGGGCTAACATGCCCCTGGTGTGATTTCTAGGTCATTTTGAAGTGGTGGCCTAGAAAAATCCGATTTGCAAAAGTTCGGCCACCACGCTAAAATACTTAAATTGGTTTCTAGCCCGTTTTAGCATGGTGGCCTAGAAAACTCAACTATCAAAAGTTATGCCATGACCCATTTTTCGGGTTTTAAGAGTCATTTTTGGGTTATTTTCAGCCATTTTTCAGCCTATTGCCAGCCTTTTTCAAGCGTCACCTTGAGTCTTTTCAACCTGGTCGCCGCCTTATCATCTGATAACAGTAATCTCTGCTTCAACACTTTATTCTCCTTTTCCAGCCGTTCCAGCTCTCGTTGATATTGAGATTGTGTCTTTAACATCTCCTCTTGGAGCTTCTGAATTCGTTCCTCAGCTGATTTCGCGTCTTTTTTATCTTTTTCATCGTTTTCGTCTTTTTTGGAGCCGAACGCCGACATTAGGGAGGCAACGAGCAGCGGTTCTGGAATATTCGAGTTGTGGGTAGTTCTAGGCACATTTTAGGCCCTTCCAGACCAATTTTAGGCCCTTTTAGGTCAATTTTAGGCAGTTTTAGGCAAATTTTAGGCGTTTTTAGGCTATTCTAGACCATTTTAAAGCTATTCTAGGTCAATTTTAGGCAGTTTTAGGCCATTTTCGGAAGTTTTAGGCAAATTTTAGGCCCTTCTAGACCAATTTTAGACCCTTCCAGGTCAATTTTAGGCCCTGCTAGGTCAATTTTAAACGTTTTAGGCTATTCTAGACCATTTTACAGCTATTCTAGGTCAATTTTAGGCAAAATACAGGCAGTTTTGGGCCATTTTAGGCAGTTTTAGGCAAATGTTAGGCCATTTTAGGCTATTCTAGACCATTTTAAAGCTATTCTAGGTCAATTTTAGGCAGTTTTAGGAAAAATTCCAGGCAGTTTTAGGCAAATTTTTAGCCAGTTTTAGGCAAGTTTAAGGAAATTTTTAGGCAGTTTTAGGCAAATTTCAGGCAGTTTTAGGAAGTTCTAGGCAAATTCTAGGCAAATTTTAGGCGTTTTTAGGCACATTTTAGGTCGTTTTCAAGCAATGAATGTTGTTTGATGGGTTGCTGTGGCCTAGCTTTCGCAAAATGAAATTTCTAGGCCACCAATGTTTTTGGCCTAGAAATGGTCCAACATTCATCTGGTGTGTTCTTAAAGCCATTTTAACATGGTGGCCTAACTTTTTTAAAATGAAATTTCTAGGCCACCAATGTTTTTGGCCTAGAAATGATATTTCAGACTAGTTTCAGACTTTGTAGGTAGTTCAAAGTCTGAACAATGGTCAAAAATCGAGCAAAAACGACTAAAATCGCAAAAAAAATTTTTGATGGCCTAGAAATCCGGAAAACTCGGCCACCATCAAATGTCGCCAATTAGGGCCTGTTTAGAGCTTTCTAGGCTGGTTTTCGACTGTTTTTTGGGGTTTTTGGACCATTTTCAGCCTATTTAGACTCATTTTTCATGTTTTCAGGGCCGAATTCCCACCTTTTCCAGGCGTTTCTCCTCCTCCTTCTCCTCCTCCATTCTCTCCATTCTCCTCATTTTTCTGCCGTTTAAACTGCTCAAACTTGGCCATCCACTCGGCCGCCCATTGTCCATTTCCGTCTAGTCCTCCTCCGAATCCCTCCTTGATGCCCTTGATTCGTGTCGAGAACTCGTTCCACGTCCCGTTGGCGTCGAACCATGCGGGAAGTGTCAGGTCCGGTAGATTCGATTTCCATTCTTCGTACCACTGGAAACAAAATTCGGGGGTTTAGGGGGCCGAAAATGAAGGGTTTCAGGTTGCAAATCATGAAAAATTGACCTAGAAATCGTTTTGGTGGCCTAGAAAACTCACGAATTCGAGATTCTAGGCCATTCTGACTTGGTGGCCTAGGATCCCAAATTATAATATTTCTAGGCCACCGCTTTTAAAAAACGTTTTCAGGACGTTTTCGAGCAATTTTAGGCCCTTTTTAAAGACTTTTGGGAAAAAAAAACTTGGTGGCCTAGAAATCTCAAAATTTGGGTTTCTAGGCCACCACTCCTAAAACACGATTTTAGATGACTTTTGATAAGAAAATCAAGGATTTCAGGTTGCAAATCATGAAAAATTGACCTAGAAATCGTTTTGGTGGCCTAGAAAACTCACGAATTCGAGTTTCTAGGCCATTCTGACTTGATGGCCTAGGATCCCAAATTATGATATTTCTAGGCCACCAAGTCCTAAAAGCGATTTTAAAACGTTTTTGAGCAATATTAGGTCATTTTTGAAGCATTTCTGGCTCAAATATTTGGTGGCCTAGAAAATTCAAAATTCGGGTTTCTAGGCCATCGCTCCTAAAAAGCGGTTTTAGGTGATTTCGAGCCGAAAATGAAGGAATCTGGGGTTAAAATAGCGAAAAATTGACCCAAAACCGCTCAAATCCTCGAATTTAGGAGGAATTCCCCTTGGTGGCCTAGGAATTCACAAAACTCGGCCACCAGTCTAAAAACATGCCTTTTGGCGGTTACGACACTTGGAAAAGCGTTTTTCCAGCTTTAAATTGACCCAAAACCACTGATAACAGCTCAAAAACCACCAGAAAACGTTGAAATTCATGATTTGAGTCCGGTGGCCTAGAAATCCCGAAAACTCGGCCACCAGTCATTTTTTCGTGATGTTTAGGTCATTTTTCATCATTTTTCTTACTGTTCTCGCCGCCACACTGCCTCCAATCACTCCGGTCGCCACGAAATACCGTAACTTCAACAAATGCTTCGCCGCACTGGCTGCGATTCCGATGAACGCCCGTTCGGCACGCAAATTGACTACTGTAGGCCGTTTTTGGAGTCTGGAAAATGAGAAAATTGAGAATAATGAGTTAAAATAGAGAAAAAACGACTAAAATCACAAAAAATTTTGATGGCCTAGAAATCCCCAAAAACTCGGCCACGGGTCTCAAAATGGGGTTTTTGGGGTTAGGACACCTAGAAAAGCGTTTTTTAAAGCATTAAATTGACTAAAAACCACTTAAAATAGCTCAAAATGCACCAAAAAGCGTTAAATCTATTATTGGAGTTCCGTGGCCTAGAAATCCCCCAAAAAAAAACTCGACCATCAAAATCAAAAACAGATTCTAGAAAGAAATTGGGTCCATATTCGTGATTTTCCATAAAAATAATGGAAAAATCCCATTCAAAATGCTCTATTCTGAGCGGTTTTTGATTGGTGGCCTAGAAATCCCAAAAACTCGGCCACCAGGGTCAAAATGGGGTTTTAGGGGTTAGAACACCTGGAAAAGCGTTTTTTTAGCATCAAATTGACTAAAAATCACTTAAAATAGCTCAGAAGCCATCTAAAACCTTCGAGTTCATGATTTTCACTTGGTGTCCTAGAAATTACCCAAAAAAACTCGGCCATCAAAACCAAATTTCGACTCTAGGGTGAAAATCGGTCCTAAATCCTGATTTTCGATCAAAAAATTGCAAAAATTCCGTTCAAAATGCTCTATTCAGAGCGGTTTTCACTTGGTGGCCTAGAAATCCCAAAAACTCGGCCACTGGTCTCAAAATGGGGTTTTAGGGGTAAAGGACCACTGGGAAACCGTTTTTCAGCCTAAAAATGTCATAAAATCACTTATAACAGCTCTAAGTGCACCAAAAAGCGTTAAATCTATGATTGGATAACCGTGGCCTAGAAATCCCCCCAAAAAAACTCGGCCATCAAAATCAAAAATAGATTCTAGAGTGAAAATGAGTCCTAATTCGTGATTTTTGATCGAAAAATTGTAAAAATCAGCTCAAAATACCCTATTCAGTGCATTTTTCGTTTGGTGGCCTAGAAATTCCAAAAACTCGGCCACCATCAAAAATTGGCCTGGAACGTGCAAAAAAGTTCCAATTTTTTGCAGAAAAGAGCATAAAAAGGGGGAGAAGAGGGTCGGGGGGAAGACATCAAAGATTAGACGGCAGGAGGGGGGAAATTTTATTATTTTCTAGTGTTCGATGAGCAATCGGAGGGCACGGGGAGGACGAAACAAAAAACCATGGCATCATCACTGATAAGGATTTTGATGATTGAAAAAATTTAAAAAAAATGTGGCCAAGAAAATGCGAAAAAACTAGGCCTTCCGAGCCCATCCTAAATTCGTGGCCTAGAAATCCAAAAAACTAGGCCACGGGTGACAAAAACCATGTTTTCTGGGTGTTTTTCCGCCTAGATTCCTGATTTCTGGTGTCCAGGAACCCTATTTTTCGCCAAAAATGATCAGAAAACGGTCAAAAATCGCAGAATAAATAAATAATTATAGGGGTCCAACATTTCCCGATTTTCGAGCTCCAAACATATTTCTATTTGTAGTTTGGTGGCCTAGAAACCCAAATCGAGTCCTAATTCGTGATTTTCCATGAAAATAATGGAAAAATGCCGTTTGAAATACCTTATTTCGAGCGTTTTTGGCTTGATGGCCTAGAAATCCCAAAAACTCGGCCACCAGTTTCAAAACCCGTATTATGGGGTCAGGGACCCTGGAAAAGCGTTTTTGTCAGTATGAAATATTAAGCTAAAAACTATTAGCTAAAAACCCACTTTTAACACCTCAAAAGCCATCCAAACCCCTAAATTCATGATTTGAGTTTGGTGGCCTAGAAATCCCCAGGAAAAACTCGGCCACCAAAATCAAAAATAGATTCCAGAGTGAAATTGAGTCCTAATTCGTGATTTTCGATCAAAAAATAGCAAAAATCAGTACAAAATACCCTATTTAAAGCGTTTTTTTGCTTGGTGGCCTAGAAATCCCAAAAACTCGGCCACCAACAAATTTCGGCTTAGAACAAATTTCGGCTGCCTAGAAACCTTCTTTAAATCCTTAAAAAAACTAGGCCAGATCCTCCTCAGAGGAGGATCTGGCCGAGTTCCAGGTGTCCTAGAAATCCCAAAAACCTAGCCCACAGCCTGCAGGACACAGTTCTAGAATAGCCTAAAAACGCCAACTAACCTAGAACTAGGTCACCAAACCTTGTAGGTCTCAAATGGCCTAGAAACCTCCCGGCTGCAAAAACTCGGCCATGTGCCTTGCAAGTCAAAAAATGACCGATTTCTCGCTATCTATGACGCCCCATGACATGCCCCTATCTCATGGAAAAAACTGATGATGCACTATACATCATTGTTCCCCCCCCCCCTGATGGCCTAACACACCAAAGTTCGGCCCCCATCAAAACAACCGGGCCCAAAAAAGTCTATTTTCAGGGCTTTTTTAGGCCAAATAGGCCCATTTTTCGGCCCGAAAATGCATAAAATATGATAAAAAAACCCATAGAAAACGTCAATGACCAAACAAAAAGAGAGCGAGAGAGTATTACAAAATTTTCTGTTTGGTTTTTGGTGTCCTATGCCCCCCTCTCTACTCATCAAAGAGCGTTCAGAGATTAGGAGAGACGCAGACAGTCAGAGAGAGAGAGAGAGACAGCAAGCGAGAGAGAGGGAGAGACGCAGAGAGAGGGGCAGAGTTGTTTTCTTGTTGTTGCTGGAAATGGAAGCAAATAGGAGGCCGGAATGGGGGGAGATGGACAACATTCTAGATGGCCTAGGAATCCAAAACTAGGCCATATGGACCTGCAGAATAGTTCTGGATGGCCTAGAAACCCAAAAATCCTGGTAAGCTAGGCCATGCAGCATTCGGAGAGTTCTACATGGCCTAGAAAAGTTCCAGGTGGCCTAGGAACTCCAAAGATTTGGGAAGCTAGGCCATGTGACTTTGCAGAAGCATTGGTTCCGTTGAGACAGTTCCAGATGGTCTTGAACCCCCCAAAACGTTAAAAACTAGGCCGTGCGGCACTCGGAGACATCCTTTAAAGAGTAAAAATTAAAAAAAAAAAAAAGTTGCCACCGGTGGGAGTCGAACCCGCGACCTGTAGATTCAAATTTCAATCTTTTCATACCCAAAAAACTTTGAAAAACAAAAAACAAACAAAGTTGCCATCGGTGGGAATCGAACCTGAGACATCAAGATTCAAATTCGCTCATCGAAAATCCCACTAGGCCATAAGAGCAATTTTTGGAAAAAGTCGATTTTTGGGGTCTTTTCATGATTTCTGGCTCATTTTTCGCGGATTTTCAATTATTTTTATGATTTTCGAACCTCCTGGGTCCTTTAAAGACTAAAAAATTCCAAAAAAAAATTCCAAAAAATTAAGCCACCCATGGGAGTCGAACCCGCGACCTCTAGATCCAAATTCTAAACTTTTTTAACTCAAAAAATGTTGCCAGATGGCCTAGAAACCCGAAATTCTTGAAAAACTAGGCCGTGCAACACTCGGAGAGTTCTAGATGGCCTGAGATGTGCGTGTCTTCCAAAATGGCCTAGAAATCCAAAACTAGGCCACGAGAGACTCTGAAGAAGCCTATAGATGACCTAGAAACCCCAAAAACCGGGGTAAGCCTAGGCCATGTGACTAGATGGCCTAGAAATCCGAAAATCTTGGTTACCTAGGCCATATAAACCTCGGGAGCGTCTGGCCGAGTTCTAGATGGCCTAGAAACCCTCCAAGTGCTCATTGATTCTTAAAGGTTCACATTGTGTGTGTGTGTGTGTGTGTGTGTGTGTGTTATCACTACTTATCAGTACAAAATTCTCTCTTATCAAGTTGATCTATACAGTTTGACCAGCGCGAATTCTAGGTCAATTTTAGGCATTTTAAGACCTTTCCTGAGGCCTGTTTTAGGCTTTTTAATGCAGTTTTCAGGCCCATTTCAGGCTTATTTAGGGCTTTCTGGGGACCATTTCAAGCCTATTTTAAGTTATTTTCAGTGATAGAACCGGGGCAATCTTAGGCCTTTTTTAGGCATTTTAAAGCCTATTTCAGGCTTATTAGGCCCTTCTAGACAAATTTTTAGGCAGTTTTCGGCCAGTTTACGCCTATTTTCAGCCATTTTCAGCGTTGAAAACACTTGAAAACTCACAATCCGGCTCTTCTATTGCTCAGTGTACTCAAATGCTGACGATTATCATACTGTAGCTGTCCGCGGACTACTGTAGTACTTGAAATTCTAGCCAACGATGACGTGGCGATTGGATTCAGAAGAAGACGTCGTCGAGGATGGCTCACCACTCCTCGCATCATCATTTTTGGCACATTTGACTATTTTTTGTTGATTTTTCTGAAAAAATCGGAATCGGTTGCAATTGCGCTCCACGGATAATTTTCGATTTTTTTTAATTAAAAAATACTAAAAGAAGTGAAAAAAGCGAAAAAAATTGGGTGAAAAATGAACAAAAATGAAATTCTTAGAACAAAAAAAATCGGGAAAAAGTTGCAATTGCGCTCTATTGATAATTCAAAAAAAAATTTTTTTTTCAAAAAACCGGAAAAAAAATGAAATGATGAAAAAGACGATAATTCGGGGAAACGATGCAATTGCGCTCCGTGGCTAAAATCTGAAAAAATGCAATTTTTTCACCTAAAAATTCAAAATTTCTCGTTTTTTCAGGTATCCAATAGAGTGCACTTGCAACTCTTTGAAATTCAAAAAATTCCAAAAAAAGAGGGGAAAAAAGATCAATTTTTGTATTAAAAAAGGCAAAAAAATCGCAAATCGAGGGGAAAAATGGAAGAAAAAGTGAAAAAAAACCGGTAAAAAATCGGAAAAAATCGTCTTAAAACTATATTTTCGTGTCTAAAAACCAGTAAAATCGTTAAAATTTGTGGGAAAAGTGTCGAAAATCGAATAAAATTAGGTAAAATTAAAGGAAAAGAGGGAAAAATAAGAAAAATCGCCTTATTTTGTGCAAAAATCACGTAGATTCACATAAAAAATGACCCAAAAATCATGAAAAATGACTCAGAAATCATGAAAAATGAGCTGAAAATCATGAAAAATGAGCTGAAAATCATGAAAATTGACTCAAAAATCATGAAAAATGACTCTAAAATCATGAAAAATGAAATTTTTACATGATTTTCAGCACAAAATAAAGCAATTTTTCAGTTTTTCCCTTCAAAAAATGTCAAAAAATCCATAAAAAGGCTATAAAAGACAAAATTATTCAATTTTCAGAGCTCTTCCTCCTCCCCTCCACTTCTTCCACAAAATCGGCGCCAACGACGCGCCAGCAGCTACAGTAAGCAGTCCGACCGAGCTCCAACTCCACGCGACACTAGTGTGTGTCAGTTGCTCCAGAGTGCTTCCAGCTTGAATGTATAGAAAACTGGGCGGGGCCACGCCGAGGAACGTTCCCCAGAAGAATGGGGACAGGGGAACGTCGAGGACGGGACTGACAATGTTGATGAACCAATTGGGAAGGATCGGAGTCACTCGGAGGAAGATCATGTAGTGGAGGAAGTTGTCACGATGCTTGGACAGCTCTTCTTGCCATGTCGACACTCGCTCCGGGATTAACTGTAAGGGATTTTTTAATTTTTTAGTTTTTAGAATTTTGGAATTTTAGAATTTATTGAAATTTCGAAAAATTGATCTCAAATGGACCTAAGTACAGTAATCCAGAAATAATTAGCTGAAAAGAGCGCTTCAAAACGATCAAAAAATGAGCAAAATCGGCCGATTTTGAGTTGAGATACAGGCACTTGAAGTTTCAGAAGGCTAGAGACGCCAGACGACGAGACACACTTTTTTCTTTTTTTTTTTGCATTTCTGCATACTTGTGAAGGCCTGGCCCGGAGGCCCGGTCGGCCCGGAAGTTTACCGCGAACTTCAAAATCTTGAGCGAAAAGTTGAATCATTGTTTCGAAAAAAGGTATTCAATGTTTTTTTTCTTCGAGTTATTTTTCAATACATTCTAAAAATCAATAAATTCATTTTCAAAAACAAAAATTCATTTTTCAAAAATTTTGTTTTTTTTTCTGCCGGGCCGCCGGGCCGGGCCGGGCCCTGAAAATTTTCTCTCGGCCCGGGCCGCCGGGCCGAACCGGGCCGGGCCGAAATTTCACAAGTATGCATTTCTGGATTTCTGAGCTTTCGAAAAATTGTTCTACAATTAACCTGACTGATGTAGTCCAAAAATTAGCTTAAAATAGCTGAAAAATGGTTCAAAGCGGTCAAAAAACGAGCGAATTAGGACGATTTTGAGCTGAGATACAACTCTTTGAAGTTCTGGAGGCTAGAGAAGCAGCGTTTCTCGTTGTCTGGTGTCTCTAGCCTTTGGAATTGCAGATTTTCTATTTATGGTCATAGGATAGACACAATTTCCTTCAATTCTGTCCAAAAAACCAACTCTCTAGCTTATCTAGAACTCGAGATATATCCATTTGAAGTGACAGGAGGCTAGAGACGGCAGACGGCGAGACACACTGCGTCTCTAGCCTCTAAAATTTCAAATAACCGTATCTCGGCTCATAGATGAGCTAGAAAGTTGAAAACTGGACAGAAATGTGTGAAATATCAAGAAGAATATTTGGGAACTGACGAATTTCGAAAAATGAATTTTAATTTCGAAAAAATGTATATTCTGAGATTTTTTGAATTCTAAAAAAGTCAGTCAAACTGAAACGTTTTAGTACCTAAATATTCTCCTCGAAATGGTACACATTTCTGTTCAAAAACCACATATCTAGCGCTTCTAGCAGCCGAGATACGGTAATTTGAAGTTTCGGGAGGCTAGAGACGCCAGACGACGAGACACTCTGCGTCTCTAGCCTTCTCCCTCGCTGTATCTCAGCTCAAAATGGACCGATTTTGCTCGTTTTTTTTATTGTTTTGAAGCTCTTTTCAGCTATTTCTAGCCAAATTTTTTTGACTACCGTAGTCAGATTGCCCGGGTTTTCATGTCAAAAAAAAAGGCTCACCCTAAGAATCAACGCCTTGCCCAGCAGATTGGAAATTTGAAAGCACACAGCTGCTCCAAGTGCCGAGCACGAGCAAACCAGAAGCAGTGCCACGTGGAATGGGAACAAATATCCGGATAGAATCGTGAGGAATATGGATCCAGGAATGGCGAAAGACTGCAAGAAGCAGTAGATGACACAGATGGCACCCAGCACGACGTCATAGTTGTTCTCCTTGTACTTCGACAGTACCCTTCCCAGATTTTTGGCATCTTCTAGATTCCGGGGATACTTTAAAAATGGTCGCTCGTCTTCGGCAACTTGTGGGAAGTTACTGTAGACTGTGTAGATGGTGACTGCGAACGAGATGAAGATGAGCAATACTAGCCACGGGTGGGAGGTGGCCTGTTTTGGAGGTTTTGGGACTTCTGGAGGCGGAGATTCGGGTTTCTGACGTCTTCTAGAGGTGGATTCTGGAGCTTCTGATGACATTTTTGGGCCTGAATTAGTGGAAAAATGTGAAAAAATTCAGAAAAATCGAAATTTCAAAAAGAAGCAATTTTTTAAAAAATTGGAAAAAATTCTAAAAATTTTGGGAATTTCTGAAAATTCCAAAAAATCGTTTTTCATGATTTTTGGGTCATTTTTCATGATTTTTGAGTCATTTTTCATGATTTTTGGGTCATTTTTCATGGATTTTGGGCCTTTTATTATTATTTTTGGACCATTTTTCATGATTTTTGGGTCATTTTTCATGATTTTTGAATTTTTTTTTCAAAATTTCCAATTTTTCGCTATTTTCAGATCTTTGAAAATAGAATCTAGCTATTATCAATTTTTTTATTCCCTAAAATCCATAAAATCTTCAAAAATCCCCTGAAAAAAATGTGGAAAAATAACAAGAAAAATCGGCTTATGACGCCGGAAAAGTTGGCGAAAATCCGGATTTTTTGGCTTTGAAAATCTGGAAAATTTTGGGGATTTTGACAAGCAAAAAAAAATTTTTCGAGAATTTTTTTTAAAGTAAAATTTCATAATTTCAAAAAATTGAAATCTGATGCAATTTTCATGGAAATTTCGAAATGTTTTTCGGTTTTTAATAGTTTCAGAGCGTTTTTCAGCTAGTTTTAGTCGCAGAATTGATATTTTTGAAAAAATTAAAAAAATCGAAATTTGAAAATTGCAAAAATCAAGGAATTCCAGCACAAGAAATGCATAATTTTTTAGAATTTTCAATTTAAATTAAAAATTCTTTCAAAAAATCCAAAAAAATCCCGAAAAAGCGAGCTAAAAATAAACAAAATCGGATAAACATATAATCGTTGATGCTCTCAAGCCTCCCCGTAAATCCACACGGAAACGGCTCTTCGCGGCGAGACGCCGCAAACAATTAAATTGCGTGCGCCTTGAAAAAGTCAGCCGTTTTCGAGTTTTGATCAGCTGATTTCAGCTGATTACAGCCAAAAATCAACGGATTTTTCTGGAAAAAATCGAAAAGAACAACGAAAATTGGATTTTTAATCAATTTTTATTAGATTCATTGAAAAAGTCCACAAAAAAAATGCAAAAAAAAACGTTATAGACAAGAAAAATGGAGTCAAACTTCATCGGCGACGACTACGGACCACTCTTCCACTATCAGTATCGATTGATAGTCATCGGCGATTCTACAGTAGGCAAATCCAGCCTTTTGCGCTATTTTACCGAGGGAAAAATGGCCGAAATCAGTGATCCCACTGTTGGCGTCGATTTTTATGCCAGAATGATCGAGTTGAGGCCTGGATATCGTGTGAAATTACAGTTATGGGATACTGCCGGGCAGGAAAAATTTCGGTGGGTTTTTGAAAATTTTTTGAAAAAAAAATTCAAAAAAAAAAATTTTTTTTCGAAAAAAATTGGATTTTTATTGATTTTTAGCTTTGAAAATCACTAATATTCAGCCTTTCTTCCGAAAAAATTCAAAAATGCGAAAAAATTTTTTTTTCAAATTTTCAAAAAAAATTCCAGCTCCATCACCAAATCCTACTACCGTAACTCTGTCGGAGTCCTGGCAATCTACGACATAACAAATCGAAAATCCTTTGAACACGTCGAGAATTGGGTCAAGGAGGCGGCGCAGAACCTGGGCGGTCCGTCGCCCGGAAAATGCGTTTTTCAGTTGGTTGGCACAAAGTGCGATATGGAAGCGCAGAGACAGGTAGGGAAATCATGAAAAAATACCCAAAAATCATGAAAAATACCCAAAAATCATGAAAAAATACCCAAAAATCATGAAAAATGACCCAAAAATCATGAAAAAATACCCAAAAATCATGAAAAAATACCCAAAAATCATGAAAAATGGTCCAAAAATTATGAAAAATGACCCAAAAATCATGAAAAATGACTCAAAAATTATGAAAAATGACCCAAAAATCATGAAAAATGACCCAAAAATCATGAGAAATGACTTTTCCAAATTTTAAATGATTTTTGAGTAAAAAATGATGATTTTTAAGCTTAAAAGTCCCAAAAAAACACATAAAAAATCAGGATTTTCGACCTAAAAATTCTCGGAAAATTCGATTTTTTAAATGTTTTTTTTGGTCAAAAATACCCGATTTTTAATCCGAAAAATGCCCAAAAATTGGTTTCAAATTGATTTTTTAAATCCAAAAACCACATTTTTATGACTATTAGACCGATTTTCATGATTTTTGACTCATTTTTCATGACTTTTGACTCATTTTTCATGATTTTTGGGCCAAAATTTCCCAAAAAATGTCTAAAAATCAGTTTGATTTTCGGTAGTTTTTCGAGTAACAAATATCGATTTTATGCTTTAAAATTTGCAGAAATGCGGCTCAAAAATCAGCCCAAAAATCGATTTTTACTTGAAAATCAAATTTTTAAAATTGAAAAAAATGAGAATTAAAAAGTAAAATTAAATTAAAAAAAAGATCCAAAAAATATTTTTTCAAAAAGCGAAAATATATGATTTTTGGGTCAAAAACACAAATTTTCTGCTTCGAAATTCCCCAAACATTATTAAAAATGGTCCAAAAATCATGAAAAATAGCTCTGAAATCGAGGAAAATGACTGAAAAATCATGAAAAATGACCCAAAAATTTTTGTGGTTTTTGGATAAATTTTGTTCGATTTTGGACCATTTTTTTCATGATTTTAGGACTTTTTTTCTTGATTTTAGAATCATTTTTCATGATTTTTGAAAATTTCCAATTTTTCCAAAATTTCCAATTTTTGAACCCAGAAATCCCAAAAAATGTCCATTTCAGGTCAACTACGAGGAAGGCGAATATTTTGCGAAATATCACAAAATGAAGTTCATCGAGACGTCGTCGCGAAGCGGCGACAATGTCAATGAGGCGTTTCATATGATTGCTCAGGAGGTATAGAAAAATTGGCTGAAAAATGGCTGAAAATCTCAATTTTTTAGCCAAAACGAGTCTTAAAAAGTAAAAAAAACTGCAATTTTCGACCGAAAATGAGCTAAAAAACACATTTTTTTGGCAATTTTTCTTACTCAAAATTTCAAATTTTTGCAATTTTCCCGCCAAAAAAAAAAGAAATATCACAAAAAATTCAAATTTCTCGGCAGATCCAAAATCGCGTCGATTCTGGCGAACTGCGGCCTGTGGACGGTTGGGAAGGCCTCAAAACGGGAATCATGCGTTCGCAATCCGTGTGCTTATCAGAACGAAGCTTCCCGACTGGAGACAATCAAGGAGCGTGTGGATGTTGATAATTGATTTTTATTGATTAATCGATTTTTTTTTGAATTTGAAAAATCCGAAAAATTTGAATTTTCTAGGTGAAAAATGAGCGAAGAAAAATTTCATTGAAATTTTTTTTATTTCGTCTGAATGACTCAAAATTCGTCTGAATGACTCAAAAGAGTCTGAATGACTCAAAATTTTCGAAAAAAAAACCTTTTTTCAGCTAATTTTTCACCTAAAAATTCAAATTTCCCGCTCATTTTTCAAAAATTTCCACAAAAAAATTTTTGCATTTTTTTGCATTTTTCTCCCCTTCATTAATCAATTGTAGTCATAATTTCGCCTAGCGTTTTCTTTTTTTCCGATTTTTCCGATTTTTTTCGCCTTCTCCCGATGTGTGTGTGTGTGTTTTTTTTGTCCCATTTTACACCCAAAAATTGGCTGAAAGTGCGCTCTATTGAGAATTACGCACTAAAAAAAATTCAAATTTAGGTATTTTTTGGCTTAAAAATCGTGAAAAAAATCGATTTTTGAAGACTTTTTTAGGCTTAAAAGACAAATTTCAAAGCTAAAAAAGTGTAAAAATTGATTCAAAAATCATGAAAAATGATTTATTTTCATGATTATTTCGGCGATTTTTCATCATTTTTGAACGATTTTTCGTTATTTTCAGGTCATTTTTCATGATTTTTGAGCCAAAATTTCCGATTTTCAAGCCTAAAAATTCCCCAAAAATCATGAAAAATGACTTTTCCAAATTTTAAATGATTTTTGAGTAAAAAATGATGATTTTCAATATTAAAAATCCCAAAAAAACACATAAAAAATTAGAATTTTCGACCTAAAAATTCTCGGAAAATTCGATTTTTAAAACGTTTTTTTTTGGTCAAAAATACCCGATTTTTAATCCGAAAAATGCCCAAAAATTGGTTTAAAATTGTTTTTAAAAATCCAAAAACCACATTTTTATGACTATTAGACCGATTTTCATGATTTTTTAGTCTTTTTTTTTTTGAATTTCGGCCCATTTTCCTGTTTTTTGAACGATGTTTCGTTATTTTCAGGTCATTTTTCATGATTTTTGAGCCAAAATTTCCGATTTTCAAGCCTAAAAATCCCCCAAAAATCATGCAAAAATGACCATATTGACGAAAAAAACTATCAATAGAGCGCATTTTCTTCCCGTTCTCGATATCTTAATTTTTTTTCTCCTAATCATCCCGGCGCATGCTTTTTGATTTCTAGTCACTAACATTTTTTTAGAACTTTTTTTTTCATATACCTAAAAATGAAAAAAATCAAAAAATTCAAGAAAAACGTTGGTTTTGGGGGAATAAAATTCTCTAAAAATTTTACAAAAAAATTCTTGAAAAAATCGCAAAAAATGAATTTTTTAAAATCTAGAGAATCGAAAACAAAACGATGCGAAATTTACATTTATTCAATTGTTTTTTTGGTCAAAATTAGTAGAAAAAATTGAAAAAAATCGGGGGTAAAAAATCACAATATGGGGTGGGTTTTAGGAGAATTTGGTTGTGGGATGAAAATGAAAAACCGTGGAAAAAATAAAAACGGGGAATTTTTACAAAAAAAAAATAGGGAAGTTTTGGGGAAAAAATGGGGGGAGAAAAAGTAATAAATTATGAATTTTTCGGGATTTTTGAAAAATGAAAATCGAACATTTTTAGAGAAAAAAGACTGAAATTTTCAGATTTTTCGAAATTTTAAAAAATTAACTTTGATCTGAAATTTTCAAATTTTTGGGCAAAAAATCCACATTTTTAGCTTAAAAATCTGAAATTTTCAGCCGAAAAATTAGTTTTTTTTTCTTCAAAAAATCGATTTTTCATAAAATTTTTAGCTAAAAAATTTGAAAATTCCGAATTTTCATTTTCAACAAAAATTCCTTATATTTTTTTACAAATAAAATTTTCAGCAAAAATAATGTTCAACAAAAAAATTAGTGTCCCCCGGATCCCGAGGGGGCGGAGCAAACGCTTCGAACATCCCAAATCATGACGACACGATTCTGTCCAGACGTCACCAGAAGACCCAACGTCTCCTGAAGATGCATCGCAGTGATGCCCGTGCGAATCTCGTGTGGGATAGCCAGTGGGGTCAGGCTGAAAATAGGATTTTCAGCATTTTTGAAGTGGTGGCCTAACTTTTGCAAGATGGGGTTTTCTAGGCCAGCACTTCGAAATGGCCTAAAAATGCTCTCACATGACCCTGTTTTGCTTTCAAGGTCATTTTAGCATGATGA